AAATATTATCATGATAGATTGCATTTAATTGCAGCTGGCAATAATAAATCACACGGAGGCATAAACTATTATAAATATAATTAGATAGATTTAGGCCGCGATGAAATAAACCAACGTGTAAAGTGTCTATAAAATAAACATAATAATACATATCATCTCAATATATTATGATTTCATTGATCGGATTCGGTTTAATATTTATGTAAACAACGCACCCCTGAAAAGGAACAAAACACCTGGCGATGCGGTTCGCCGAAAGCTTTCATGGAATCCAGTTAGTAAATTAGCAACTGGAGTACCTACCTACAGGGAAAACCAGAATAAATTTCTACTATAAGGGTGCAGCTCGAGTCTCGTTTTACTCTAATTAGAACAAACACGTAACAATTAAAATTAGTTAAAACTTGTGGATTATTCGATACTATCTCGGCATAATTACCGACATTAAGTCTCCCCGGATAAGAGTTGATTTATAGTTTTCGTGTTGTTATCAGTTAGAAACGATCGCTGATTGCTATTGAGCCACTTATAAGCCGTTGAGTGACTTAAGTACTTTCAAGTTTACCTATACACGAATATTTATATGAATTAAAAACATTAATAGGAAATGTTGGATTATGCAAAGTTTTTTGGTAATGACAACAAAGTATTAAAAAAGAGTAGTTGAAATGTTGTATTCATATCATAGAGGTTAATAGCTACTAAGAAATAATTCTTGTTGTATCGTATCTACCGTAAATTTGTTGCGAAACAGTGTTTATTTCATTTTGATATCATATTTAGTTTATGAGATACGTCTTTTTTAATTTTCGTCATCAAAATTAACCGCTATTGTTATAAATATGCAGAGGTGTGTTCAAAAACTCACAAGAACTAAGTTTAAACGAATCAAGAAATGATTTATCTCACCTTATATTTTGATTAAATTTGCTTTAAAACGATTCCTATTTCATTTTGATATCTCAATTAATTCTTAAGATACGATTTTTTTAATTTCCATTCTTTTCAGAAACATCCTTTCTGTTTTTTGTTAAGCAGAGTTGTATAAAAAAATAATATCAAGGAGATTAATAGACAGGAAAAAATGATTCTTGACTACAGGCTGTTTCTAAATTGATGCGAAAGATTTCAAGGGATGATTTTTCAACAAAAATTAAGGGGGCGGCAAAACCCTTTTTCCACCGAGTTACAGCCCTCTAAAGTTAGAGGAAAACATTGTTTTTATTTAATAAATGCACTATGGAACATAGATAGAAGAATGAAATTTGGCAGATAACTATTACTAGTAAAATGACACCTTTTGACGATTTTTATAATCCTAAAATGTTATTACAAGGGGGAGAAAAAATCCACCCCTATAATACTTTGCATCAGAACGTTTTAATGCGTCTACATTTTTCTATTTAAAAACTTTAAAAAGTGGGATTCAATATGCAACTTTTTTGTCTCTTAACATTTTTTCCTAAAATCGTTAGTTTGTCCATAAAAGGTAAAATAATACTCCGACCTATTTGACATAAATTCACAGATTGATTATTTATTTAAAAATATCAAGTAAGCTGGTGTCATAATGACAAATATTTTCATTGTTGTGATTTTGTCCGTGTTATTTTTCTATCGCTTGTGAACTAAAAACAATTATTACTTAAGTAAATGCAATGGCAAACTACATAAATGCCGAAATGGCAGACATGCATTTTGTCTATAGTCGTGCTAATGGAAATGAAGTATGAACTGCGGCAATAGAGGAAGAAGTTCTTGATTTAATTGAAGACTCTCCCGGAACTAGTGCAAGAAAAATTGTTCATGAATTAAACGTAAGCTTTTCAGCGTATTTTGGATTTTAAAAGTACAACCGTTGTATCCTTATCATTTACAACGAGTTCAAGCGCTCTTATCGCAGAATTTTTACCTCGTTTAATTTTTTGCCAATGGATTCTTCAAATGGTTACACAAACACCGCAGCTGTTATGTCGTATTTTGTTTACTGATGAGGCGAATTTTTGAAAAGAATCCATTACAAATTTCCATAAAAATCACATATGGGCTGAAGAAAATCTACATAAAATTGTTGAATCCAAGTTTCAACACCAATTTTCATTAAATATGTGGCTTGGTGTCATTGACAATGATTTAATTGGATCATATTTTCTTCCAATGAGATTAAATGGAGACGCATATTGTCATTTCTTCGAAAAGGAGTTGTCCCAGCTTCTCGATGATGTTTCGATACAAATCAGGAGAGAATTTTTGGTATTAACGCTCCTCGCTACTTAGACGAAGTTTATAAAAATCGTTGGATAGGCCGCGGTGGTCCTTAGAGTTCTTCAGAATCTCCAGAAGAGATCTGGCTGGCCATTAGATTAATCCATTAGAAAAATCTATTAGATTTTTGTATTTGGGGTTTTCTTAAAACGTTGGTACAACGTTGGTCAACTCCTGTTGAAAATATCAATGATTTACGGAATCGTATCATCGCATCATGTGAAACTATTAGGAATACACCAGGACTATTTGAAAGAATATGAAATTCAGTGAGATGAAGGGAAGAATGTGCGTTGCTGCTGAGGGGCGGCATTTTCAACGTTTGTTATGACTTCATATTGATATTTTGTTAACGTTTTTATGATTTGTTTTTGTAGTTTTGTTAATTGTTATTAGTACTACAATTATTATTGTGATATTTCTTAATTTACATATTTTTTCAAGTAAATAGTAAATGCCATTCTTTCAATAAGACTTCATTCAGTTGTCCAAAATGTTTTCAGTCCATTCGTATAAAACTCTAAACATTTTAATAATTAGTTTGAATTTATGCCATGTATGTATCTGTATATTACTTTTTTGTGATCAAACTAACAATTTTATGAGAAAATGTCAAAAGATAATAAAGTTGGAAATTGAATCCGTTTTTTTAAATCAAGTTTAAAAAAAAAAGAATGTAGACACATTCACAACTTCTACTGCAAACTATTATAGGGAATGGTTTTTTCAACCCCACATTATTGTTCAATGTGAACGTTATTGTGATATTTCCTAATTTACAATAAGTAAGTACTATTCTTCAAGTAAATAGAGAATGCCATTCTTTCAATAAAATCTTATTTAGTTGTGCAGAATGTTTTCAGTCCATACGTTTAAAACTGTGTAGACATTTTTTTGTGATCAAATTAACAATTTTAGGAAAAAATGTTAAGAGTCAAAAAAGTTGCAGATTGAATCTATATAAACCAAGAGAGCAGGAGATAAAAAAATAACACGGACAAAATCACAATAATGAAAATATTTGTCATTATAACACCAGCCTACTTGACATTTTTAAATAAATAATAACCAATCTGTAAATTTATGTCAAATAGGTCTGAGTATTATTTTATTTTTTATGGACAAACTAACGATTTTAGAAAATGTTAAGAGACACAAAAGTTGCGTTTTGAATCCCACTATTTAAAGTTTTTAAATAGAAAAATATAGACGCATTAAAAAGTTCGGAATATGCAAAATATTATAGAGGTTGATTTTTTCACCCCCTTATAATAACATTTATGATTATAAAAATCTTCAAAAATTGTCATTTTATGAGCAACAGTAGTTATCTGCTAAATTTCATTCTTCTAAATTCCTCCATAGTGGATTTATTAAATAAAAACAATTTTTTCCCCTAACTTTAGAGGGCTGTAACTTGGAGGAGAAGGGATTTTGAATAAAAAGCTATATGAAACACACCCTTTAATTTTCGCAGAAAAATCACCTCTTGAATCTTTCGTATCAATTTAAAAACACCTGTATATCTTCATTAAATTTGGTTTATGAGATACGATTTTTTTAATTTCTGTCTACATCTATTTTTACTGATTTGTAGAGGATTATTTAAAGAATTATAACAACTAAGTTTAAAGGAAATGATAGGAAACAAGAAATGATTTACCTCACGTTATACCTTGATTAAATTTGCTAATAAGTGGTTCATACTTCATTATCCTAAGTAACTCCTAAGATACAATTTTTTTAATTTACATTCTTTTAAAAAGTATATTCCTATTTCTTGCCATGCAAAGTTGTATTCAAAAACTCATATCATCGATGTTAATAGATACTAAGAAATGATTTTTGTCGCACCATATCTTAATTTTTTTAATTTCCGTCTACATCAAACGTAATCTCTATCTTCACTGATATACAGAGGAGTATCCTAAGTTTAAACCCGTAATAATTGTAACGATAGAAGTTTGTTCAAAATCAATATATTTCCAGAAAAAAATGGCATTTCACACATCATAATATATCCCATACATCTTTCGAAAAGGTTATCTCGTCAAAAATTCAAAAGAAGCGTAACCCCGTACAAATCAGAGAACTGTAGGAATGCCATATCCAATATACCATTTCAGCATGGAGCGTTGAGGTCGTAACGTGTGTCTTATTGACCACTCAACGTCCTACATACGTCGTATTATAGGGAGGACCGAATGTTATAAAAGTTGAAAACTGGAAGTGATCGCACGCTTGAGCCCCCTTTTTCCTAGTTTCAGCAAGAGAGGACGAATAATCTATGAAAATTGAAACGGAGAATTCGAAATAAGAACGTTATATCACCCCTTTATAAATCAAATCTTGATAAATACGTTTTGTGTATGAAGGGTTAAAACGAAATCATTATTACAAAAAATTACGTGAAATTATTAAATTTATATGCAAATAAGAAAAGTTATATTCATTTTGAGAAAGTTTACAAAATCGTGACCATTGGAAAACGACGATTTCGGTATGAATAAAACAACCGAAGATTCGGGATAGGCTACTTTTGGAATTTATTATTTTAAATTTCCGGCCTCGTTCAGCTTCACCTTGCTGGTTTCTGAAACATTGTGAATTCTATCCGCGATTCGTTTAACCCCAACGGTGTGTTACCTTCCCGTTAGAGAAGCGAGGGATCTTTCCTTTCCACGACCAATTGTGGTTACTCTCCGTTTTATTCTGACCTTCTTTTTATGTCTTAGTGAAACCCCAAACCGTGGACATTTTAACCAAAGAGAAACATGTATCAGCTGACAAAAGATATGAAGTCGAATGCAGAACATCCGGATCACGTCCGGAAGCTATCATAACATGGTGGAAGGGAAGCCGGCCAGTAAAAAAACTAGCAAAAAATGTAAGTAATTTTATTTTGTTTATCACCTTAAAACTTCATATAGATTATAAAGCCAACTTAAATTTTGCATATTAATCGGTTTGCGTAATTTACTTTCAAACAGTTGCAACTTTAATTAGGTGCACTACAGGATTTACATAAAGTTCACATAACATGCTGTGCGTACGGAAGCGCGTCATGTTTTAGCTGGCGCATTTGTTGCGCTTAATTAAAAATCGTGGAAATTAAATTTTACGTGTAATTTATCAGTTTCATAAGCGTCCAAATGGAACGGATGCTTGTCATTTTAATGAAAATTATTAGGCCAGTTTGTGCATTTTTAATAATTGCTACATTTGCGGTTACAAAATTCCACGCCAATATTGATTTTTAATAAATAATATGAACACGTATATAACTTGCGCAATTATCATTTCTGTTTAATGGAAAACGAATTATTAATAGTCGGTAGAAATTTAATTTATTCTCAACAAGGATATATAATTGTTGATATTGTTGTATTTTATGCGTATAAAGAATTTTTAGAATACATAATAAATTCCATTATAGTATTATTACGTTATTTATTTTTGATATCGATGGTGTATTAAAGTTTCCAACTTAATTTTTGGGGAAATACGAGTAATAGAATTACGTTGGAGTAATGATCTTAATTTATACCATAGCCAGTATAATAATGAAATGTTGTAGACTTCGGGGATTGTTTGCGTACCTAAAAACCTCTCGCTACTTGAAGCAAGCCGTACAAAAGTTGCTAGAAGTTGGAAATTCATTTATATTACACGTTCCGTGGAAAAAGTTCGACGCTGCAATCCACCCCTAAGCGAGCAAAACAGACAAGCACACTTCAGCTTTATTTTGAGGGAAGAATGGCGAGCACAAGTTGCCCGTTAACATAAACAAAATATGTTCGGCAGCTTGCCTCAGCGCCCTACGGAAAGCGAGCTTTTCCTGGAACTTTTACCCTCTTATTCCTGACCCGTACGCCACTCTACCGGTCCACAAGAAAACTTTAAATGGAAACGGTAAAATACACATATACGCTACTTGTAGGAGTAAGCATAAAAATAACTCATGCACATCTTAGACCAAAACTGCAAATCCTTTGACAAACAAAAAGACGATCTAAAACAAGTAGAATTCTCTACAATAAGCATAAATGGCACGTCTGAAAAGGATCCTTCAAGCTCTGCACCTTACCTCCAAGGATCCCTCCTATCGCGATAACCTTCCGCTTTTGCGACTTTCTGTGACTGTGAATGAAACTCCAAAAGTCGTTAACTTTGAAAGAACCGGACACAGTCGTAAATTATCCTCGCTATTTGACTACTGTTTAACTGTTCTCGAAGTTTCAACTCGAACATTGCACGTTTGAGCATGTGTGTTCGTTTTTCTTGGTAAATTTTCTCCGTGGCAATTGCTAAAGGGTTCGTTATTTTGCGTTCTTGGAACTATAAACCCTTCTTAAAATAGATTTCTTATCAGCTTTACTTCATGAAATATAAGACACGATATATATTTTAATAATCGAATGTTTATCAAAGATTTAAGTTTTATCCAACTTATAAACTCGAGAAGCTTATTATTATTGTTACAATTAAAATGAAAAGAGAAGTGTGAATGGAGTGAAAATATTGATTAAGTGGTAATAATTAGGTTAATTACTGAGGTTTGCAAAATGGATTCGAATCAAGAGAAAAATGTTTCTGCGTTAAATGTAATTTAGTTTAACAATTACGGATAAAAATAATGGTGATACTTTTTATGGACTGTCACGCAGACATGACTCAGATTCTTACTGTGTACCTCTATTAACTAGCGGTGGAGTCACTCATGAGCTACAATATGATGGAAACATTATTTAAATTGTTTTTTAGTTCCAATTTAACACTTAGCCAGTCAGATTTGACGGGATCGCTATCAGTGATTAATGCTCGGATGAGGTAGCACAAGAGGGCCAAGAGAGAGACGTCGCCTACAGTGGACCAGTCCTCTGGAATGAGACATGCTATGGTGTTTATTAACATCGCTACTGTCAAACCCGAGAATATTTTAGGATTTGCTCGTAGCAGTATTAAAGTTCTAATGGGTGTCTTTACTCGGTACTGCTGATTAAGGTTGAGGTGTCCTTTTGACACTTCAACTTGTTGGGTCTAGCCGATGATGTTGAATGCCGACTATGTGCGGACGACGAGGAGACGGTTGAGAATGTTTTATGTCACTGCCCTGCTGTTAATCGTATCTGATTGTTGATTTTTGGGTCGCAGTTTATCTCCCCAAAAGATTTGAATGACTTTTCACCGAGCAAGGTATTAATGTTCGTTAAGAGCATTGGACTGCACGGTGAACTTTGATAACGTTATCTATCGGGGTATAATAGATTCTTAGGGTCGCGGTGCAAGGTTGGTTGGTCCTCCTACCCGATATGTAATCTATGTAATGTAACACTTAGCCAATTTTTTTCAATCGCTAATGTTTTTGTAAGAGAACCTTATAGAAATTCATTTATAGCACAATTCTATCAAAACAATACTCTATTTGTAACATTGTAAAGGTAATCGTTTTTGAGATTTTTGTTGCCTTTGATTGCACATTATTTTTTTTATTACTTGGTTTTTTCTGTCGACTTTTGCGTGGTTTACCTTTTACATGTTACTAAAAGTATAAGTAATCATTTAGAGATATTACCTACTTAGTACTCACCAACCCTTTCAAACAACTTTCGGGAACGGTGGCCTCTCGGTTGTTTTTTTTTATTTACCGTGTTTTTTATCATGCATTATGGATACTAGGAAACTTTCTGGGTATGATTTTTATTGTTCTCTGAATCTATAATAGTTTTTTCGATTTTTATATAAAGGGTGTACAATTACATCGTTTCGTTTTTTGAAAGATGCCTAGAATGTAGTGGATGGGTTTACATCCAATAATTTGCGAGATTTTGTGCTACTTCCACCTGATTCAGGTGATCAACGAATTCAAAGCGATGGGGAAGAAATTGACGATGAAAATTTCGAGATAGAGAGTTTACCACAAGAAGTAGCCGTAGTTCGAGTTACATGTAAGTAATACTAGTGAGGAAGAAAAAAGACAATTACAGTGGAGAAAAAATGAAGATGTAGCTATCCCTACTAATGCAGTTGAACCGGAAAAGCTCGGAATTGAACACGCTGGACAATCAAAATATAAAATTTTTCGATTGTTTTGGACAGAAGAGATTCTTTTTCACATAACAAATCATACGAATCTTCACGCAACAAGGAATCAAAATCAACACAATTTCAAAGTCTCTGAAGAAGAGATTTCTCAATTTCTTGGATTGTTTTTGATTATTAAGCAACACCAAATGAGCTGAACGGACCATATTCTTCCAAAACGATGAGTAGAGGATCGTTCAGACGAATAAAGCGTAGCGGATAACAATAACTTAGAAATTTATAAAGTTGCTAAAGTGATACCTATATATAATACCAAGAATGTTGACTAAGAATGTACTACAGTTTCGAATTGTTCACAAACACTGGAGCATTGATGAAAATCAACATTTATGCTCGTAGATCAGAGTTTTCGTATAACTATATACGATACATTATTTAGTAGATTGTAGGGTTGCAGTAGATTGTACAAAAATCTGTACAATGAATAATTAACCTACAAACAACTAATATATATTTGCACTATTTTCATTGCTTTCTAGTAACCAATCAGCATCCCGTACTGGTCTACTAAAACTACCAACGTTCTCAAAATGCGAATATGGTATTTTGAAAATCTTAATCGATTTTTTTCTCTTTTTAGTGGATAATTGCTTAGATAGGTGTATAAAACGATTTGTGAAAATTTAAGCAATAAAAACATTTTCATAACTTGGCCTCTAAATTGTTAAGGTTGATATAATGTTAATCACAGAAACGAAGCGACCTCGGCTTAGTTAATCAAAAGATCTCCAACTTCACCTGATAAAGTCGAGGCCACTTGCGGTAGAAACGCCACAATATGAAGACCAACTTCAGGTTGATATATGAAAGAACACGATTTTTCATTCAAATGGTCACAAAACTTGACCACATCAACTTTATAGATCTTTGTAGATTTTCCAATTAAGTTGTGGATTAAAAAAATAATTTTTTCTACTTATTTTTAAATTGTCTTGAAACTTAGTTTTCTTTCATTTGACCTTAATATTTATTAGAGTTTCCATGCGCGGCAAATCTGTTCAGCAAATACCGTATCGATTGAACCGTTCGCATTCAAATGAAGACCTGAGCAGTTTAAATGTAGTTCCAGCAGACATTAGGACGATCTACGTGAGAGTTATGTTCGCGTTTTATTGAAAAGATATTTTACCGCCAAGTCGTGCTCGAGCATTTGTTAAATGAAATTTTATCACCTCGTTCAGCCGTGGTTTTAAACGGTTAAATTTAAGTTTGCGGCCTTCATTTACTTAAAATACGTGAAAGGAGGTAGCCATAAACTTGTTAACATTAAGTGTTCTCTTTTTGATTTTTTATTGGTGCTTAAATTCTAGTATTAATTTGTACTTGATGTCTTTTTAAATTCCAATTCATGTTCGTTGCTAGATTTGCCAACGTCAACGAAAATTGTGTTACACAGGTTAAGAGACTAACGAGTGCACTTTATTTATTGCAGTTCTCGGAACAGAACAACCAGAGCTTGAGCATCTTGACGTTCGAGCCGGTGGTGGAGGACGACGGCAAGTACTTGACCTGCAGAGCAGAGAACCCGTCCATTCCTGATAGTGCCCTAGAGGATAAGTGGAGACTCAATGTCCACTGTAAGTTCGATTTTATAATTTGTCTCTTAACCAGAAAATTTTTTCCAATAGAAACATCAATTTCCGATTTTTAGGTATCTATAAACTTTTATTACGATTTTATCGGGTTTGTACATTGATATGCATGAAAATTACTCCAGTAACTATAATTTGTTAAACAAAGTTTTAAGATGATACGCATATCTTTCGATATTACTTGACGCAGTAACAGAAATATTTAATGTGGGAAAAAACAAATAAAGTAATAAACTTTATCTACGACTGCTTTGATAAGTCATCATTACCGCACTCATTTGAGGTGATTTGAGTTACGTAATGAAGTTCATTACCGCACTGGTTTCATTACGTAACGCATTTTTAGCCTAATCAGAACAGACTTAATTTATTAAAACGAGCAACAATACAGAAGAAAAAGTGCTATCTACTTACAGAGAAACAATACTATTTATTATAAACATTAATTGTTATGTTTTTACATTTCGAAACACTTATTCCAGATGAGTAAACATGTTGTTGAAACTGACAATTCAAAATTGTCAACAATCATTTCAAAATATTTTTATAAATGTCAAATAGACTTTTTTAAAGAAATTGATTTTTTAGTAATTTTTAACAGTCGTAGATAAAATGCTGTATATCACACGTGGGCTAGAGCATAGTTACAATACTCGTGTGATTACATGACTCGGTCTACGACCTCGTCGTGCAATTCTCCACACTCGTACAGTAATTATGTTTCTAGCCCACTTGTAATATAAATAGCTATTTCTTTACACGACATTTAAAGTGTAAGGCTCATTTATAGATATATGTAATTTATGAGATCGATTCATTCGTATGATGACCTACCAACTTAGATTAGAAGTTGGTGATAAATTGCGATAAGTTATTAAGTCACTGAACTGTAGCATTAGCGAATCAGCGTAGACGAGATACGGCGAGAAGGCCGCAAAACCGCATTTGCGGAGTGAGCCTCAGTTAATGCCCCAGCGCTTGAATAATCTTCTGACGTTGCAGAGTGTGGTTTCTGCTAGGGGTCGAAGAGAATGGAGCAGGTGGGGATGCTCGTTTTCCTTTAACAAAAAGAAGGATGTCACACCTGTGTCTAAGCGATTTATCTGGAGTGCAATGAGAAAAAGGAACCGTTTAGAAAAACTTGATGGAAGTGTCCTTGTTCGGTAACGGAAATAAGAAATGATTAGTTTAAATTTAACGAAATCGGATTTAACGTGAAATGTGTCGCACTTTTCCCGACCAGTTCTAATTATCGCCTTAATCGTTGTTTCAGATGTGCCAATTGTAACTTTGAAAATGGGATCTAGTCTTAATCCGGAAGATATTAAGGAAGGAGACGACGTTTACTTCGAATGCAATATCAGAGCGAATCCCAAGGCCTACAAGCTTTCTTGGTACCATAACGTAAGTACACCCCTTCTCCCTGATAATTAGCGTAATCATAATGGCCACGATTCGCTCTGATAATAGGGTAATGAGATTCACCACAACGTGTCAGTTGGAGTTATCCTCAGCGACCAAAGTTTAGTTCTGCAGAGCGTTACGAGAGCAACAGCTGGCGACTTCACTTGCATTGCGACGAACGTGGAAGGAAAAGGCAGCAGCAACCCCGTGACCCTTACAGTGAGGTGTAAGTGCAAAGTTGCATGCGGTTTTTGAAAAAAAAAGAAGGGGGAATGGTGTAAAAAATCGCACTATGCATAGCCGGCGTTGGCGGACTAACGTCGACGCGTTTAACTTTTAATGGACCGTCCATTACTTTTTCACGTACCGTTATTTGATTTTCGGGCTCGGCCATTTGGGGGAAAACTTGTGATGACCGGCCCCACCGAAATATCATTAGTGTTACGTGTAACTGCAAACAGTTCTAATGGAAAACGTTGACGTGAATCACACATGCCCCAATTCAGTGTTTTAACTTGTTATGAGGATAATTTGCGTTGATAATGTTTGTTCAATGTGATTAATTGAAATATATTTCCATTCATAAAATTCTTCAATTACTATTAACACTATAAAACTAATAATAATAATCATATTAAAAGCATATTAATAGATTTTATGTATTTTACAAACTTTTATAACACTAATTATAGTAACCTTTATAACACTGATGATTAATAAATATATATATAACGCAAAGATCATGGTCAATTACGTAATAATAAAATTTTATTTCAGTCAAATTATGATTAAAATTATTGATCTGAGCTTCGAGAAATATTTGAGAAGACATAAAATGTCGTAATAGTTACGAGTTGGATAAACAATTATGCAGTTCTTAATTAATAGAGTCGGAAGCCAGGCATAACAAATTTTCGTTTTCATTGTACGATTCGCAAACAGCAATTATTCAAATTGCAATTACGTATTCGCAATATTAAACTCGTTCTAATTAGAAATAATTCCCGTAGAAAGTTGGTCGGTTTTTGGCGCGACCGTCCGCAGTTAGAAGCGTGCAGTTCATAACTTGCCCAGACAATGAAAAACGACTCCTCAGTTTAATTACACAGTTGGAAACGAAAACGCGAATAAACTGACCGGCTGATATTTTTGCTCCGGGCTGCTGAATAGCATACGCTGTCATCGCTTTGCCCGCTGGCTGTAATTTCTAGCTAAAATATTAGAGCCGAGTAAATTTATGCTATCGTGTATCCTGAAAATTCCACCGCTCAAAAAAATTGACATAAAGTTCTGTTCAGTGTTGCAAACTAATATTAGTTTTATACGCAAACATTTACATTTTTGATTTTTTTATATTGTATTTAATTTACAATAAACACTTTAACATTAAATTAATAGATTAAATAACAATTTTAATGTTATTTAACATCACTTAGTATCAGCCGCAAGCGACCTGGGCTTAATCAGTCAAAAGATGTACAACTTTACCTGATGAAGCCGAGATCGCTTGCAGCCTAGTCGTCATAAGTCGATGACCATATTTCGATTGATATAATCTCAATTAAAAACCTCGATTTATTAATCAAAAGATCTACAACCTCACCTGATAAAGCCGAGGCTGTTTGCTGCCGAGGCGCCACAATATTAAGACCAGTTTCAGATTGATATCGTATTTATCGTTAAGCATCGGCAGTAAACGACCTCGGCTTAATCTATCAGAAGATCTATAACAGAGGTGAGGAACCTTTTTACCATTACAGACCACTTTTAAATTAGGCAGTAATAAGGGAGGCCGCATTAGTGAGATATTTGCAGTTCTTTCTAACTTGCAAGTAATTGAATATTTAAGCGAAGGCTCAAGCTTCGTAACGCGCAGCTTTAATTGATCCTCTAAATGTGCATCTGTTATTGGAGTAAATATCGTGCATGACCTCATAGGTATAGATATTCAACAGCATTTTTCTAGATTTCTATGAGATTCTCTTTAGCGTCAAAAGGGGATTTGAGTATACTATCTTCCCGCAACTCAAATAATTCCATTTGCAGTTTCTTAGGAGCTTCGATTACATCCATTAAATGTGGTTCAAATACTAGTTTCATAGCAGGAGTGTGTTCGTCAAAATCTGAAAATCTTTCAGTATAATATAGCTTTTTTTCTGTTAATTCAAAGCATTTTGGGCATACATCAGTACGAGGTATACCAAAATCTATGTTGAATCTTGTGTTCAATCTTTTTCTAAAATAAGCAGATTTGACTTTCAATGACTTACCACAAGAATTGTTATACAAACAGTGCATTATCTGAATATTTAAATCACTACTTTTTTAAATAAACATAATAAAATAATTTAAATAAACGCGTACAGAGGACTTCGATCGACAATAGTGTGATTCGATGCACTAAAATATTTTAATGAAGTTTATAATGGAGGTCCTTTTATCGTCATATAATTTCGTACGATGATCCCCACTACGATGTTCTTTTGGAAGAACTCCTATAGAAAGAAACCTTTAGGCAATACCTTGTACACGATGCTATTTCAGATTTTATATTTCTAAAAATGCATTTCTACAAACGCGAACTGATTTGGAGTGCACTTTGACAAAATATTTTAAAGTAGTTATAGGATTTTCACGAACAGCGCTAATAGAAGTACATCTTTTTACAGCAACATTCGAAATACATTTTAAAATATATCCGTCCTGCTCAGGTTTTGTTGTATGGCATAAAAATTATTTTACTTCGATGTCAATCAGCTCCGAATATTTGTATGACTCATTCTTTGTGCTATATCTACATTTAAGTATTACAGGCCCCAAAATCGACATATATCTATGGCGAAACAAAATAATATTAAGTTACTATTCAAGATAAACTAAGAATAATACTAATTAACTTATAACTAAGCACGCACCTACGCTTTTTTTCTTGTCTTTTTTTCCTGTCTTTTTTTCCATTCGCTAGGATTACTATCTTTTTTCCGTGCTTTGCCTCAGGGAACTTCTTCGGAACTTCTCCATTTTTAATGCTGTTTTCAATAAACAATAGCAACACTTGCTTTTAACTGCCACAACAGCTGTCCCTGCCGAAAATCAAGATATCACGCAGTAGAGAGCATTCGCAAAACCAAATTATGGATGTGGTTGTTTTTCCAACATACTAGCATATTCAAATGCACTTCCAAATGGGATGTAGCAGTTTTTGAACGAACTGACTTTACCATATCACGAAGCATACTTTACAGTGTACTTTGCTACTGTTAGTAGAATTTTGATAAAATATGGCTGTAACCGCTTTTACAAATAGACGTATTATATTCTTCTTCCATACTAGTTGGAGTTCGATATACCCGAAAATAAAATGCTACTTCTATAAAATACTACATAGAAAACGATCTCACACGCCTTTTTGTTTTTGAATTATTTTTAGTTTTTAATCGTTGGGGTGCATGATACCCCATCTCGTAGACGGAGGGTTAAAGAATCTAGAACAGCTACATATAAAACAAATATTTTATGTTCACATCTCTGCTCGTTCACCACTTTTGCTAATTTTGAAGAATGTTCTGCAGATATATCGAAGCGAGAAAGCAATGTTGAGCTGTAATATTTTTTCCAAATGCTTGCATCTTTTGCCATATTTCATATATATGTTTCGTTGTATATTGCAGGTAAATATTTAAATTGTTTTGCTTTGTCATGATATCAGACAAAAATGCAATGTTTAATAATCTTTAATCTTTAATATTTGTCGTCGTAAAGCTAAAACTTTTATCAACACTGTACGTTTCCTCGTCTAGAGTTAGCTTCTCCCAAATTCGCGATAACGTATTGCATTTTCTCAATAGCAGAAAGAGAATACTGCTCTAGTTTTTCTGTCCACGACAATACTTAAACTTCAGATTACCAAAGACCTTCAATCAAATTTGTTACAATATAAGAAATAAAAATCAACCAGTATATTGCAGAATGAGGCCGTTACCCTCAATCGAATAGAAAGCCCGTCTTTCAAGAAATCGACTATGTAAAAATAGGTATTTTCGACATTTTCATATCCTCAAATTGTTTAACTTTTGCAATAATTAATATTAAAATTCAAAATCCCCTCTATAAAAGCTTTGGTGACGTTTACGATGCTTTTGCGTAAGATCAAGAAGACACAAGCGTGCAACGTACGCATCTCTTCTTCTAGCGCATAAGATTCTCGTAGCATTTCGCTCATGCACCTTTCATTGATTTTTATTTCAACCAACAGCGTGCGACACGACGCGACGGTGGCGTCTCCAAAGTTTTTTCAAATTTACATTATTTTTTTTTTTTTGACCAGTATGGATACTAAAAAATTATAGCAGTCTTCAATTTTGATAAACAATGGAATAAGCCAATAAAAAAAAATGTAGCGCCCCCATTGACTAAGCCTGCAAGTATGTTACACAAAATAGTACAACATTTGAAATTTATTTATTGAAACTTATAATCGTATCGTTCTTTATTAATTTTCAAGCGTTCGAGTTAGCTTTTTATAAAGGCCGCACAAGAATTTGCGGCATTACGGAATTTACGGCCCCAAGGCATTACTTTTAAAATTACGATTTTGCGATCTACTCCCGAAGGACCGAAACTGTATTATGAATATCAAAATTTCTGAAATGTTGATGAAAAAGAACTGAACAAATAGCGTGTTACAGACTTTTGGTGGACACTGTATATTCCAGTTCAAGTTCAAGCTGTTATCACACCAATCCGATATTTATGACCTACTACACTCGGTTTCTCTTGATGATATTAATCATTAGATACACTTTCATTCCAAAACTAAATAGTAGTTTAATAGCGTTTTATAGTTGAGAGTCTCCATTGAAGCAACGTGGCCACAAACGATCTTGGTTACTATATATTTCGCTTATTAAAGATAAACCATAAACAATAGTGGTGGAAGACGTTTGTGGCTGCGGCTTTAAGTTAAGACCTTATACTCTCACCATACCTTAACCTTTATCGTAAGAAATTTATTACCGATAGTACTCGCTGACGGCTGAAATTAAAATTAAATTAAATATGAACCGCTAAAAGTCAGAATCATGAGGGAAACTTTTAAATGGTAAAAGGTGCACAGTTTGTTGAATTAGATAAAATATTCACAGTAAAATGCAATTTTACTCTCCAGCAGAGACGCTCCGACAGCTCTTGATATCAATAATCTTTGAGTCCCTTTGATCCCTTTTATCATGGTCCACATCAGGAGGTTGTACTGAAGGGCCTGGAACGTCTTACCTTGCATAAAACTGATGGAAGTATCCCCTAATAATAAGTTGAATACTTCTTCTAAAAATAAAATCAGACATCTTCCTTCTAATTTTATTCAATTAACACTTATATCGGGAGCAATTCTTTCATTTATGGCAGTTCTAAACTAGTGCGATTTTGCATGTTTGCAATCAGCTAAATTAAAGCATGCTAAATAAAAGTTAAATAAGGTAAGACGATTGGAGAGAAACAACTACACTTTAAGCTCAAAGGAGAGCTCTAATCACGTACAGGCTCCTCCACCAAAAAAATTCTAATCTTAAAACTCTAATTATTATACTCGGAAAGGTGGATATTTACCGATATGTGTTCGGTAAAGAAAGACTTTACGTTAAAACCACACAAGAGAAATGGTAAGCGAAAAGTCAGTAATTATGTGCTAATGTAAAAAGAAAATATGATAAATGTCAAAGATACAAGGGTGTACAAGGGTCTCAGAGAGATACAAGGGTAAAATACGAGAAATCGGCAACGATCAGTACATTGTTGTATCTAAAATGGGATTAGAGAAAGTTTTCGATAGAACACCAAAAGAATAGCTGTGGAAAATAGAAGAAAGAAAAATTAGTAGTAATCTCATACGTTTAATTCAAATGATAAATGAAAACAACGTAAACACTGAAATTACCAATAACATGAAATCGGAGCCATTTAAAACAATAGAAGTAATAAGACAAGAGAATACTCTAACCCCAACACTTTTCATTATATTCATGGACGAAATAATTAAAAAATGTACCGTATGGAAAGCTGATGTTCAAAGTTCCGTCCATCAACATGAGCCTTTGTGCTTGATGTTTTTATTCCGAAAGAAGTTGCTTTCAGCAAGTTAATTGATCAATAAGTTTTGCACATAATTCTGTCCTGCTACTTAAATACAAGAAAGATTCTAAAATTCGAAGTTGATTTTTGTGTGCCCATTTCGTAATGGCCAAAATAGCAACTTTGTGACAATTCAGAAAGGGTCTTTACTTCTGTTGCTCCAAATTTGGCAATCTTACAATTAATAGTTGAACTCTTCGTTATGCGCTTTATTCTTATATTCATTTCTGCTTAACAATTTTTAATTTAAAATTTTAATAACAATTTATACATTACGGCTATATAGTCCCAAGGTTATTGTTAGTCCTTTTATAATGGGGCCGTTACACTTTTTTTTATTGGCATATTCGATAGTTAAGCAAAATTGAAGACTTCCATAATTTTTTATTTTTCAAACTGGACTTTAGTTTTTCCAAATAAAATAATGAAAGTTTGAAAAAACTTTGGAGACCTCACCATCGTTTCGCGCGCGATTGGTTGAAATAAAAATCAATAAAAGGTGCATGAGCGAGATGCCACGAGAATCTTATGCGCTAGAAGAAGAGATCCGAACAATGCACGTTTGTGTCTTCTTGATCTTACGCCAAAAATTCGTAAACGTCAGCAAAGCTTTTTCGTTTTGAATTTTAATATTAATTATTGCAAAAATTAAACAATTTCAGGATCTGAAAATGTTACCAATCCTTCTATTTTTACATAGTTTATCGATTTTTTTGAGAGATGGTCTTTCTATTCGATTGAGGGTAATGGCCCCATTGTTACACCTTTTACTTAAAAATAAGAAGCTGTTCTCCATTTCTACAGCGTGTCCCGTATCTTCCGCATCAGAGCATTATACGGTTGTAGGATACATTATTCTAAACCGATCTTTCTAATAAAATTTTTTCGAAATGTTTATAATAACCGCACGGGAACTGTTTAAAGGAACTGTTTTTCGTCCAATCAGCAGATCGCAAATCAGACTCAGGTAATCGGTGCCACCCTCGGCCGGTCCGCTACGCCGATGATAACTCGTTTCCCACGTGTACTCACCAATAAATTCGTCATGGAAAGAGAAATAAACTTTTTCGATGAATCAAAGTTGTCCGTTATTGGTCGTCGTTAAACAGTTCCCGTGCGGTTATTATAAACATTTCGAAAAAATTTTATTAGAAAGATCGCTTCAGAATAATGTATTCTACAACCGTATAATGCTCTGATGCGGAAGATACGGGACACGCTGTATATCTTATCATAAACGTAAAGACATGGCTTATTGAATTATTTCACAAGAAGTTTTTGAATTTATTCATCATTCTGTTCAGACTTAATTTCTTATTTTCTTTACTTCTTAATTCTTACCCAATATAATTATGTCAAAATCACTTTTTGTATTGGTGACTACATTACATTTACGTGTACCCTAATTAATGAAATATAAAGTTGTCGATTTATATTATATTTTCCTTAAAAGATTTCAAATTCGAACTAGTATCTGTTCCCATCGACGTAGTTTCGAATACTTTAGATTTAGATTAAATCGGAAAAGTTTTTTTGTTAACCGTATCGAACTAAGAAAATAAAAGTGAGGAAATGAGATTCTTCCCCGGGATTTCAACCGATATTACGAGAGTTGAATATCGAAATAATTCGAAATAATTCAACAGGCATTTATAGAATAGTATATCATTAAATTATTGGGCTGGGGTCAATCTGGATACGCAATGGGTCGGAAGGGGTCACCGCGTACGCCTGAGCATAAAACATAAATTTCCCTAAACCCCATTCCCGATATAATCCGGTTATAAATATTTCAGCGGACAAGGCTGCATAAGCGTAATTAAAGCGCTTAACAAATAGCGCTGATCCGGGCGAAGGGTTCTCAGTGTACTTCATTTAAAATCAAATTAACTTGCAAAACTAAATTTAAAACTCCCGTTCAGCGCCCAACATCGTGGTTTCGGTCTCGACCTGAAGTGGAATAAATGAAATAGGCAACGCTAATGCAAGAAAGGTCATGTCGTTTATTGAATTTCGTATTTTAAATTTCACCTTAGTATTTTTGTATCATGTGTTAATTAATTATCGTACCCGACGTCATCATTGCAAATATGCAACCAATACCACACTATTGGTATTGTAATACGCATACTGTGATATACATACTGTGATATTGGTTGCATACTTGCAATGCTGACGTCGAGTACGATAATTTATTAACACACTGTACGTCTTTACATACGTGACTTTGTTTTAGTTTAATTTAAAAAGCTTATAACATTGGATTTAGGAGTAGTATCACTGTAGTAATTTACATATAATAGTTTTTGCTTTGTCAGTACTACGGATTTCTAAATTTCAAAGCAGATAATCCGAGAACAAAAGATTCCTTTTTTTTTATTCGTGAAAATTACGATAGGGTCATCTGATTCGATAATTAAATATAGGGCTGATCCACAATACAATGATCGATCGAGCGCTGTTCAAATTTTTTGCACGTTCTCCGTTTTTGCTGGGTTAATAAATTGAATCACTTATTTTCCACGGGGCTTTGTATTTAGTGAGTAGTCGGCGGACGTATTGATTGATGCACCCTAATAAATGAACAATCGAACAATTATGGTTGGACATTGGCCGATCATTTTTGGGCTTCGAATTGAAGCGTGGAAGTTTCCCAGGATGAAACGTGAATAAAATGTCTGGAATGGTATTCGCGTATAAACATTAATCGAATTATTCGACAATACGAAACCGACATCGCGATGTGGACACCATATCGTCGCAATAGGATCGAATGTGCTCGCTGTATGAATATTTATTTAGCGATTGATAACATCGCACCGCCGCCTGAGAAAACATTCTGCTGTTATTTCAACCGCACTGCTCGGAACACGGACAGTAAACGAAATTGCAACAAAGTGTTGACGTTACGGCGTTTTCGTTTTAATTGAAAACTTTTTCGTTCCGTGTTTGTTTTAATTCATACAAAACTTCGGCGCCTGGACAAAGGGGTATTCTACCGGGTCGCATTAAAATTCAACGTCATTTTAAAACATTTTCTGCTTCCGCAACTCTGAACAGTTTCCTCCTTCTTGCTCAAAATCCGTTAATTAAAACCATTTTTACTTCACGATTCTATTTAATCAATAACTAATTATGCCTTGGATAACAGACTTTAATACTACAAAAAGAAATGAAGCGGGATCTATATTAAAAAAAAATACATTTTTATCTTCTTGGTTAATTAAGTACAAAGTATAATAAAAACATAATTTTTTAGACGCGCCAGTTTGTATTCAAGAGAAAGATGAACTCTACGGAGCCCTGAAACAAGAAACGGTTACCTTAAAGTGCCAGGTAGATGCTAATCCTGCTTTGGTCACCTTCCACTGGACCTTCAATAATTCTGGTGACCTAACCGAGGTTCCGGTGTCCAGATTTACCAACGAACTTTCCACGTCGAGGCTCAATTACACCCCCGTTTCGGAAATGGATTATGGGACGCTGTCCTGCTGGGGTCGCAACGAAGTCGGTCAGCAGAAAGCTCCCTGTGTCTTCCAAGTGGTGGCGGCAGGTAGGTCAACTTTCTCATTTATTACTATCACCCGATGTCAGATTAACGACCGTGATCGTCAAATAACAAGGGTTTCAAAGAACATCACTGCCAAGACGATAAATACCGTCTCGGTTGTGATGGCGTTCGATTTCCGCAGATTATGAATATGTTAATAACTCCCGTTGAAATATCGCCTAGCTTGCGGGAGAAATGGGTAGACATTGATTAATTTCGACGGAGAGGGATCAATCCCACATCCATCCCGCGAAGTGGCAGACGCAGGAATTGAATTGTGGCGATCACTTAAGTGAAGGGATCCACGCATGAATGTCAGTTACGCGTGACAGATGTTACACAAAAAATATTTTGGTCGTGCTGATACATAAGTAGTTCTAAGTAATTGGTGTCTTTACTAAAAACAACTTATTTTTGAAGGAATAGGTATTGTTGTTGAAACGAACATTTACGTCCATGAGAGAGAAAATAGAGACGCTAATAAAAGCGAAATAAAAGTTTAAATTAGCGACTTTCATTTTATCAAATCACGGTGGAATTAAGTTAAGGATACATCCAAGGCCCTCCACACCCAATAGGAATTATAAACAAAGTAGTTTATATCCTTAACTTCGTTAATCTTTTTATGATAATAGTTTATGAATTACAATTTTATTAATGTTAATTAATTACACTTGCTAAATACAAAAAAAAATCTCATTTTTTATTCAATCATTCTTCTTTGTGTAATAACTTCATCGCCTTTCCAATATATCTTCCACCCAATCCCGTTTTATCATTCCCATCTCTATTCCTTTTAAGGTGTTTCTTGTGTATGTTGAATGTCTTTATCACCAATCTCCCTCTAGCCTTTCCAGACTTTGCTCAGTCCTATTCTTCTTCCAATCTTCCACTATGTATTTTTCTCTTACCTTTAGAGTCTTTATTCAGAAATAACGTGATGTTTACCCAACGCATTTTTATAAAATGGTGCATAAGGTGATGTAAAGCCTGAAAAAGCTTGTTGTAGTTCTGCAAATAAAAATGCAAGCATGTTCTGGAAAACTGTAAGCAGAACCAAACATTTCGGCATGAAGACGTGCATCACTATTGAAATTGCTTGAGCTAACTTAAAGAAGAATAGTTCTAGGTATACAAACTAAGCTCAAATTGCAAATAATTGATGGCTAAAGACACATAGATCATGAAAAGTTGCTCTTGAAAGAGCAAAATAAAGCATTGAGAAAACGCCTACTTTTCTATAATTTCTCTCCACAACCGAACACTGCTGAGCCGTGGGCGGAGAATCTACGACTTCCTTTGATTATGTTGGAAATATGTGATTTTGCTTAATAAAGCCGAGGGCGCTTGCAGCCCAAGCGCAACATCTACATCGTTGGAGAGAGATTAGCCGAGGTCACTTGCGGCCGAGGTGCTATATTTACACTGTTGAAGAGAGTTTAGCCGAGGTCGCTTGCGGCAGAGGCTCTATAATTAATATTATATCAACCCAGAAGTAATGAACACATTGCAGCGCTTCGGCCGCAACTGAACATGGACTAAAAGTGGGCGGATAATCTATGATTTCGCCTGATTATGTTGGAAATATATGATTTAGTCCAAGTAAGCCAAAATCGAGGCGTTACAATCTACAGTATTGAAGAGAAATTTCCCGAGATCAATTGACAGTGAGGTGTAATGTGGCCAATGTGATAACTACTTCTAGATTCATATGACATTAATTGCTGTATTACTCCCATAAGGAAATAGCAACCGAAATAGTAAGAGCATTAATGAAAAAATATTACTTTATCAAAATGAGGAATCATTGAAATCAGACTCTTAGTATAGAGTACAAAAGTCGAGAAACGAATTCAAACACCGACCTTGAATTTACTGACAAATAACAAATTGATTGCTATTACTACAATTTCGCTATAAATCTTGTAGAAGAACAATTAAAAATTGCCGCTTGGGCATAAAAAAACATACAAGAAACATGCCGAAAATGACGCTGTTCAGATGTACAATGTGTTCGTAAAGTTATGTTGCAATTTTGACCGGTCAGAGCAAAACAACAAAGCAAAAATGTTAAATCTTTACCAAGTAAAAGGAATACTCCACTGGTTTTGTTTGGGCCTATCCGGCGGATTGACAGCATTTCGACTTACGATCACCATTGTACATCATACGGTCAATAGTGCACCATGACTTTACGAACAAAGTATATTATGTAGAAACAATCAGTGATTACAACCGACTTCACTGCAACTTACTGCTATGTGCGACTTTATGCCCACCGTTAACATAGAAAACATCTCGCAATATGTGGTGGTAGCTATTTTTAAACTGGTCTTTAATTAAACAAAAATATGAATCTTACTAGTTTTGGCTATGTGCCATCTTCAGAGACTAATTTTATAAAGTCGTGAAGTAGATTAAGATATCAAATTTTGTTGTATATGTATATAAACTTTACATAATTATAAACTGTTGAAGTTATAAAATAAAATAAATTAAGTACAGAACACGTTTACATTTTAACAGCTTAGAAGCCTAGAACGTTCTTATTACATCATACATATTGCTGGTTAAAGGCAACTTCTTCAAGAAATTGTGCAAAATAGTTGCAATATTGCGAAATGTGTAGTGCTAAAAGAGAGAGCTCGTTCTTGTCTTTATCTTTTCAGTTTCTTTCTTTCTTTTCAAATTCTTTTATTATCCCTCCTTTTCCAGTCTCAATAATCTCTGTCCAATTTTGTATTTTGCTTTAAGTCTCTGCTCAGTCTGTTTCTTTGATTACCAGTCTCCTTATCGTTTCAGTGTCTGTTTAGACTCTTTCTCCCTATCGAGTCTATGTCCAGTTTCCTTCTTCTATTACTGGTCTCCTGCTTACTTTTAAAATATCTGTACAGTTTCTTTCTTCTATTTCTCAATTTCTGTTCTGTCTGTAGTCTTCTATTACTAGTTTTCTTTTTGCTTTTTCAGTGTTTGTTGACTCAGTTTCTTCCAGTATCTATTACCAATCAATTATGCAATCTATTTCTTCCATTATCAATCTCTTTCTTCTCTTTTCAACTTCTATAGAATGCCTTTCTTCTATCGACAGTCTCCATTTTCCATTTCCAATCTCTGTTCAATCTCTTTCTTCTATTTGCAGTCTCTTGCTAGTCTTCCTTCTCCCTGTCTACACTTTTATACTTTCCAGACTCTTTTCAGCGTTTTTTTTTCTATTACTAGTATCCTTCTTGTTTTTCCAGTCTCCGCTCAATTAGATACTTCTCTTTCCAAACTCAGTCTCGATTTTCCAGTCAATCTCTGTACTAGTTCTCTCTCTAGTCTGTTCTTTGCGTATAGATTCTCTTTCCACTGTTTGCCTAATTCCTATCCTGTCTTCTAATTCTCTGTACCTTTCTTCTGTAATCAATCTGTTTCTAGTCTACTTGTGCAAACATTCTTCAATCTGCGCATTACTTTTGTCATTTTGCAGTCTTTATTTGATCCCTATATTCTATTATGTTCTGTACAGTAACAGTTTTGTTTATTTCTGCCAGTCTTCTGCCAGTTTACCTTCCTTCTGCCAAATCTATTTTTTTCCGCGCCATCTTCAGTCTTATTCTTCAATTATCAGTCATCCCATCAACCCTTTCCAGTATCCACACCTCTGACCAGTCGCTTTCTCCTTTCGGCCCCAATTTTTATCTATATCATAGAACAATAACAGTAACAATTTTCAGGATAACTCGGATCATGGACACAATTGACTTTTCAATATTGGTTTCAGCTAAGGAGATTTATTATTGTTATAATTCTTGCTACGTATTTAGATAGAGTATGCATTTTTCTGTTATAGAAAGAGAGCTTCTTAACTTTGAATTTCTTAAAAACTTCTCTAGCTATTTATATTTTCTAAATTGATGTGTACATGATTTAAAAATGAGTGAGTAGTATCCCATAATAATGATATTAGTCTTTAACATATTCAACTAAATGAAAATAATATTTCTACCACCAATTTAACTTCTAATTATGATGTATCTACAAGGGAATAGGATGGGGCTTTGCGATAGCATTACATTTCCACTTACTTCCTGGGAACAGAGCTTCCCTGCTGGCTACGCAAGCAAGAGACAGTGTGCAAGTGACAACGGTCACCCGCATATATCAACCGCAGTAGGAGAGAATACCCTGAAACTAATAAAACTCCCTTCAGGCAGTAAAGCGTTTCGGCGGGGGTAATTTGACGGTTTATTTATGTCTAAAGCCCGTCCTGTAGACGACGGCGTGCTCAGTTGGCTTCGAGAAAAACCGCTTATTTTGAATTTTTATTCGAACGACGACGATCGCACCAATTCTATAAAATCGCCGATAGCGGAGTGTTATCTAAATTTATGGCCCGCTTTTGAATGTACAACTATAGGTTTCGGTTTGAATTACGATTCAAGAAATGGTGCTTAAAATAGAAGAAATAGAAATCTATGAGCAGGAATTTTTTCGCTACCTTACAAAGTGTTTTCACTTCTCGAGACTGCTAATATCCGAAGAAACTTAATTTCTCGTTACACCCAGAAGTTTTCGTAATGCACTTACCGTCCGCAGTAATCATTAGCGTTACAATGAGAAATTGGGAGATAAACGAGTTTGGTTAATTACAACGTTGACTGAAGGATACCCTCGCCTCTCCACAGAGAATTTCCACTTAATAGAGCAAAACAGTTTGTTCGTTTTGGAAGTGGGAAGCAGCTTCGCATTCAAATTGCATGGTCTGTTCAACGGGTGGTACTAGTTGATTAATGAAAGCAACACTTTTTCGGAAACGTTGCATACAATCATTCAGGGACTTTTTAATTGTTGTTTAAATTTCATTATATCGCTTGCTTTACTAATCTATTGACGAAAAACGCTTTGAATATTAAAATGTACACATAAAATGTACTTACAAACATTATTAATTGAGAGCTGTTTGAACGAATTTAAAGAAGAATGTATAATGTATTTAAAAAGCTTATATGCATTCAATCTACACTTAAACTATGGATCGATTTCGATTTCAACGATTTCGTATGATTATGTTGGAAATATATGTTTGTGCTTAATTAACTTTTAACTGGTCCGGTGTCGTCTAGCAGACTACGTTTGTTTCTTAGTTGCTTCCTATTGGTTACTGGTACCGCCCAGAGAAGAAATTGTAGCCTGATTGTCATATAGATTTAAAAGTTATCATATAGTTATATGGAAGAAACTGCAGCGGTAGTCTCCCAGACTTCGCAGGACCCTTTTTGTAACATTTTAGCGCGTGACAGATTTTAAAAAATATGGCCGGACCGTTAAAACAAGTGCTTTTTGGCGATTCTGATTTTTATACAACTCTTTTAAAATGGTACGAAGAGGCAATGGACAGTGACGATAGTGATATCGACGACGTGCGGGAAGTCCACAACATCGAGTCAGAACACTAACATCACTGAGCTGAAAGCATATCTAGGCCGTCTGGTATATACGGCAATATTTAATTCCAGTCATCAACATTTAGATTGTTTATTCGCAACTGACGGAACTGGTAGAGAAATATTTAAAGCAGTTATAAGCAAGAAGAGATTTGCTGTTCTTTTGGTCGCCATACAATCCAGCTGCAGCAATTTCGATTATTGTCAACAATTTCATAGAAAGTTGTCAAAGTGTTTATGGACTTCGTCAATCCGCTTCGATAGATGAAACGCTTGTGAGTTTCCGAGGAAAATGCCGATTTAAAATGTATATGCCCAACAAACCGGCAAAATACGGCCTCAAAATACAGTGCCTTACGGATGCACGAAATACTTATCTATATAACGCATACATCTACACTGGAAAAGACTCTGATAGTTTTGGTCTCAATGATGACGAGAAAACGTTGCTAAAGCCTACTCATGCTGTTTTGCGTTTAGCTAAACCGCTGTTTAACAGCAATCCCAATATTACAGCTCATAACTGGTATTCTTCAATACAACTAGTGGGTGTCTTGCGGAAAAATAATTTGACGTATGTTGGTACAGTAAAAAAGAAGCAGATATACCACCAACTTTTCAACCTAATAAGCAAAGAGCTGAAAACTCAACACTCTATGGATTTAGGGAACATTGCACTCTAATATCTTATGGTGGAAAAGTTGGAAAAGCTACAATACTAGAACCATCCATGCATAACAGACGTTTCAATGATCCCAATATAGGAAAACCAGAAATCATTTCCTACTATAATGAAAATAAAGGCGGAGTAGACTCCCCCGATGAAAAATGTTCCAAAAGCACCTCGAGTTGCCCCACTTCAAGGTGGTCCTCCTTTTTTTGCTTACTGGATATCTCCGTGGTAAATTTATATGTAAAATACATCAATGTTATAAAAACTATCCAAAAATAACAGAGAAAAGTCTTTTTAGAATGCAGTTAGTTAAGCAATTAGTGGAAGATCATATGAGATGGCGTTTGATGATAACTGTTATTCCATGTGACTTACGCACTGTTATTCAGAGAATACTTAGAGTTACAGACACATAAAAAGAAGCCAACAGAGATAGTCTAATTTTGCAAAAACGAAAAATTCTCCACTTATGTCCTTCAAAAAAGAAAAGAATAACGAAATACTTGTGTCTTTCCTGCAAGAAGCCCACTTGTCTACAGTGCACAAAGCCAGTCTGCAATAACTGCGGTCAAAAGTAAGCAATTTTGACTAATGGTGGAATACGATATTTTCGTCAAATTTTAATTTACCTTTAATTTGCTCTTCGTTTAATACCTGTATAATAACTTATGTTATTATTGAATTTTTTAGGAAGATATCCTAAAGAAAAGTTTTAATAATTAACGATTATATTTACTATAACGTCATGAAGACGTTACAGCGTCTCTTATTACAATTAGTTACGCTATTCTTATAGTAACCTTAATGCTAACCTAGCAACAACAACCCTTCGTTTGTTTGTTATGGTAACCTTATTAAATAGCCTTCTTACTCGTACCCTGCTGATAACACGATAACATTTATTTCTACATACAATTAATCATACCTTACACCAGACGAACATAACTAATAATATAAGCGAAAATTGTTAATTTTTTTACAGCATTTTTTATGTTGTGTTTTAATTACGTTCATTTCCATAATATTTTTGGATTCATAATGTGTATAGTATGTGCTGAATAACATATTAGGTTTATTTGCATAGGTATATTTTTGTTGACCTATTAAATTAAATAGTTCTTGAGACTACGCCTGACTTAGCCGGACCAGTTAAGGGTTAAGTCTGCATCTACACCGTTAAAGAGAGTTGAACCGAGGTCATTTACGGCCGAGGCACTACAATCGCAGTACAATATACTACAATACACATTGCAGCACCTCGGCTGCAATCGAACACAGCCAAGCATTTTGTCTAAATAAACCGATATCTCTTGGCCAGCCATTATATTTTAGATTTTGATCGAAAAAGTAGCCGAGATACTACAATTAACTTCGTTAAAGAGATAGTTGCCGAGGTGACTTTCGGCCGAGACGCTAAATCTACACCGATGAAGAGAGTGTAACTGAGTCGCTTGTGATTACGATTCCCTGCAACCGAACACAGCTACATTGTGAGCGAAGTATCGAAGATTTCGTCTAATTAATTATAATTATATGGATTTTTTCCAATTGAGCCGAAGTCGCTTGACTTCGCTATTGACAATAGTATATTGTTTTATATGGAAGAGAAGCAGTGCTTTTTATGGCGTGGTCTGTCGTTTAGCGACGAACGCAGTGAGTCGCTAATGACAGATGAGCCGTTAAAATTGTGGCGTGTCCGACAGTTTGCCGGACGAACGAAGTGAGTCCGGCAATGACGGACCAGCCACAAACGAATCTGCTTCTCTTCCGAATAAAACAGTATTTTTTCTTCAAACGTTGCAAATAATTGCAATATAAATTTTAATAAATTTAATAAAATGACAATTAACTTATTATGTATTAATGAGAAATCGAAGGACGTCATGACAAAATAACGTTAGCAACGACGACGTAAATTTGACAACCAATAAAAAAAAGTAAACAGTTTTGCGCGAATTTTAACTTTTAACTGTTAGTTAAATTTATTTTGTACAAAATGTCGTCCGAAATTAACGATATCGCGAAGAAGGTAATAGAAAATAGTTTCCAATACGGCGCTAAAGTGACATGTGCTTCAGCGCTATGGCGCTAAAGTGAAATTTACTTTAGCGCCATAACGCTGAAGTACTTTTTTGCTACGTTGATCTTACCAACCGTCGTTATGCAACAATGACTTACTTCTACCGCGAGTAAACACGACAACAAAGTTGTCATTTAATGACGTTTGAAGAAAAAAACACTTTGAATATTAAAATATAGACATGAAATGTACTTCCAAACATTATAATACAGGTGCCCGTTATGTATGGAATATAGTACACATTTCGATAACTATCGACTTTATAAAAAAACTTTTTATATAAAAGTTGTTTAACATTTTATTTGTCATAAGAAGACAGCATTCAATTGTTTTTATTTCAGAAAACAAATGAGTAACGAATAACACTTGAATTTTTTTAATTAGCAATGTACCATTTCGCTATGCTCATTTGATAGAGACTTTTTTTTGTCATTTCGATAACGTAAAATCTTAGTATGACGTAAATCTCTTTTGTGTATTTGCACAAATAACATTAATCTAGATATCCGAGATCGTTAATTAACTCGAAGTATTACCATACATTAAATCTACATACAAAATAAAAGCTGCATCAATTTCTTCCAGATCACTCAGAATTTAGATTTAATTTACTGTAATAATTCGAAGTACTTGACGATCGCTATTTAAAAAATTCAAGTTTTATTCGTTGCTCATTTGTTTTCTAAAATAAAAACAATTGAATGCTGTTTATAAAATCGATTAGTTATCGAGATGTATACTATATTCCATACATAATGGGCACTCTGTCTTTTCGTGCAAAAGTTCAATATAAAACTTTGGATGACGCTTTATTACCCTTAACTACATTTGGGTATATCGATCGATATAATATAAAATAGCTTCGAAATGTTTGAGAGTTTGCTCACTTATTGACAAATAACGCCCACGCCTTCGGTTAGGTTTGGAGGAAATTGGCCGAAAAGTAAAGCAAACAAGGAGTGTATAGAAACTGTGCCGATAAGCGCATCATTTAACGAGATCGTGCGGAAAATTTAACGTTAAGTGTTCGATGTTTTACTGAGGGTTGTTTATTATAGTACGTTAGACTAATGGTGCCGTCGTTTGCAGTTTAAATTTTAATCGCTTTCGACCGTGTGTGACGTGGTCGTCCAAAGTACATTATTCATGCGGGATTCCTGATATAGCGTGAGAAATTTAGGTATACGTAATTTTGTAATCGATTTCACATAAGTTAAGTAAAATTAGTGCAATAGAACGATGTTCTAAATACAGTACTAGGACGTAATTATTGCAGGTAACTGCAAATTTCGAAACGACGTGTGACATTGCGGCAACGACTTGTTCTATTTTTCTTATTAAAGTATCGAACGCTTTGCTCACGTGCGCCACATTTATCATCAGTTGTGGTAAACTGAAAGTTCGATGACTTCAACCCCACTTTAGTGGGCCACCAACCATATGTGACTGCTTTTTTCCACGCAAAATTGCTCTTACGACATATGAAACTACATGCTCTACAGTGTAGAGCATTGTGTAGAATCTACACAATAAAGTGTAATAAAATACGAATTCAGTTTTAAAATTTCTGTCAAATGCCTTAATCTAATATGATAACGTTCTACCATCTTGAATCCATTGGGAACACAAAACCGCTGCAATTCTCTCTGCGGTTTCAGGAACGAGGAACCGAAGCTGTAGGAGAATACGAATAATTTTACTGCGCCAGCGGTTGCGGAATCCGACAATAGACCCGTAATGATAGCACCGACGGAAGCAAGCACAAATACTTAAAAGAAACTTCATAGCTCATTCTGACTTTTAATGACATTTTAACCTATAGCAGCATTACATTTACACGCCGAGAAAACTTACGTTTGCCTTTTTTTTTAAGGAAAACCATTTCCACTGTTAAACTGCTCTATGATGAACCAAACCTCCGATTCCCTTCAAGTAGAATGCACAGAAAACTTCGATGGAGGTCTTCCCCAGGGATTCTTGATGGAAGTTCTGGAATTACCATCGCTACGTTCCAGTTTGAACGTGACTACAGATAGAACACCACCGCACTTTTACGCAGATGGCTTAGAACCTGGAGCAAGCTACAGGATAATGCTGTATTCCGTAAACGCAAAAGGCAGGAGTGATCCCGCCATCTTAGATGCCGTAACTTTCAAGGGTGTCGCCAAGTATACAGGTAAGGATATGATAAAGACCTTTTACTGCCGTAATGAATTAGTCCCTAAGCTCCCCTGTGAGATGAATCTTTTATGCGTCATCGTAAACTATAAACCCACCGTGTACCCTACAGGAAATTTCAGAAATTAAAGATATTAAAGAAACTTTATCTTATAGATTATTTAATATTTGGATTTTCCGAAATCGCGTTTACAACACTTTTTTTTATTGATGAGTTCGAAATACCGAAACGGTAAAAGTTACCCGATTTTGTCGACCAAATTCACAGTCGACAATACGCAATCGCCTATGGTCAATTCCGAGAATCGTTCAATGGAAATTTTCCACTATTTTCCGTGAACGGGCGACGAGCCGGTTACCGACGTGCTGATTGCAAGTCTTTGTTCCTTTTTCCTTTTTACCTACCCGATTTCGCCGCTTATTATTAACCCAATCGCCATTTCTGGAAGCTCGACAAAAAATTACTGTTCCGACGCTAGCTTTAGAAGCGAGCTTTTCCATTTTCAAAGATGAATTTTACATGAAGAGCCAATCGGAATATATGGTAATCCAGTTGGGGGGTACACGCCACTTTTTTTATATACGTTCATAATGGATGATATTAAAATTTACTGAATTAAACAAAACTCGACTTATTTTATAGTTAGTTTAACCAACATTCTAAAATCATTTAAAAGCTTCATATTAGGAAATGTATAATTTAATATGTACGGCTAATCAAAATTTAATTAAAACTGATTACATTCCAACGATTATTAGATATCATTATAAACTTTCTTATATCTTGCTCTATGAATTAATTTCTGTAAGACCTCTTTATGAATTTTTCATGAAATTTTTAAAAAGCGCGAATCTACAGAACTGTTTTATTAACTGGACAAAACCGCATACTTTTAGGAAATCATTCGATGAAAACGGAAACGAAAATCATCTGATTACAGACTTCAGTACAGAAACAAGCTTGGTGTTGTATGAAAAGTGAGCAGCTGCAATGTCAACTGCAGTAGTATCAATAAGGAGAGTGTTAAAGGAGTAACATTGAATTACTTAAATGGCACTACGAAGCTCCTTCAACATTTAGTAAATTAAAAAAATCAGTTTGACAATATACCACTGAAAAACTATGTATGTATATGATGATAAAATCATATCGACTGTGTTTTTATGAATCATTATATGATATGTATGTTAAATGGAAGCCTAAAGATTGCAGTTTATGTTATGATATTTGATTTAATTTTTCTTTTTTTTACTTTTATTTATCTCATGTGGGTACAGAAACAGGTAGAACCCAATAACACTGTACCACAAACAATCAAACAAATTGCAATAACAATAATTAATGCTACAAAAGTGGAAAGGAAAAACTTAAAACTAAGTGTAGGTCCTATAAATATATCACATATCAAATGGACGCTCGAGGCAACACACCAACTGCAGCAAAAAGCAGTTTTTTAAATGCATAGAAAGAATACTGAAACAGATCTATGTTAACACGACTTACGGATCTTGCCATTCTCAATAAAGGATAGTTGACGGGCATTGGTTCTAGGAGTAGGTGTCATAAATTGAAAGTCAAAGCGAAGTAATCTCGGAGCAACATGAACATTGAACACTTGTTCAAAAGTTTATAAAAATATAACGTATCCCCACAAAAGCGACGCTGGCTGAGGGTTAACATACGAAAAGAAGTGCAAGTTGATTCGTAATCAATGTATTAAACGAAAAATTAAAACAAAGGTATTTTAGACATTTAGTTTGTATACGCTCAATCCTAGATTTATACGAGTGATACTGAGGATTCCAAACGACGCTGCAAAAGTTAAGTGTGCATCAATGTTAGAAAAAGCTACCGTGAATATCTCTGAAGGAGAGATGCCAGATTGTTTCGGTTAATGGATTGTGTTCACCCTCCTAGACAAGAAAATAATATTACATTTTGATAAGTTTTATGAAAGGCGATTATTTAAGCAAAAAACATGTAGATTATTTAAGTCAGATTGCAGTCTAAAACAATCAAGAAATAAACATGGGGCATAATTAACGACATCAAATATGTCGTTAACATAAATATTATTATTAACAGTAAAGGACCCAGATGGCTACCCTGGGGAACAGCAGAAGGAACTGACACAAGATTAGAAAAAGAAACCATTAACCGAAACAATCTGGCATCTCTCCTTCAGATAGGAAGCAAGCCATTGCAAAAGTTTCCCCTAAACACCAAACTTCATTAGTTTAAACATAAGTAAGTTGTGATCCACCCGGTCGAAATCTTTACTAAAATCCGTATAAACTGAATCAACTTGACAAGAATCATCCGGAGAAGATAAAATATACTGGGTATATTCAAGCAAGTTAGCCATAACAACCATGTTGTTTACCATTGAGTTTAGACTTAAGGGTAAAGAATTGACTTGCATGAAGTACTTTCTCAAACACTCCCAAATACTATCAAAATAGATATGGGGCGGTAATCAGATATAACACCCAGATTTACAAATGGGAAGAATAAAAGCCCACTTCTATTATTAAAGACACAATTAAAGACACCCATTATTAATGAAGCATTAAATAAAATAGTTAAAGGAAGGAACAGAGAGCGTGAACATTCCTTGATTAAAATTGATGGAATACCATCAGTACCAATACTATCTGTAACCCTGATGCCCAGCAGGGCCTCCTCAACCTCAATTCTGTCAAACTGCGAAACAGCGAACAATGAGCATACTCCGACACCGTCACCGACAACAATTCCATTCCATCACATCGTAGAAGGAATAACATCCGCACGCTTCTTAGACTCAGTAAAAGCCCAAAATACCTTAGGTCAGCTCTTCTAACATACTCCATGTAATTACGATGGTGAGGTAGTTACAGTGATACAATAAAGTCTACATACACCCCAGAAAATGATAATATCTCACCTCCTGAAATGTAATTCAATGAATTTTTTAAACGAAGGATATTAGAAATCTATATTACTTTAATACAAAGTCGAAACAGTTCGACTTGAGCTACGAAGTGAAGGCTACAGCAGTAGATTTAGTCGCACGTCTCTCAAGACGGCTAAACCCGAATTATTCTAGTTCTAGGTCTTGTGTTAGTTCTAGTGACAGTGCAAAACTAGAACTAACACTAAATCTAGAACTAGAAACATTCGGGTTTAGCCGCACGTCTCTTAAGACGGCTAAACCCAAATTATTCTAGTTCTAGGTCTTGTGTTAGCTCTAGTGATAGTGCTAGTGTAAAACTAAAACTAACACTAGACCTAGAACTAGAAACATTCGGGTTTAGCCGCACGTCTCTCAAGACTGCTAAACCCGAATTATTCTAGTTCTAGGCCTTGTGTTAGTTCTGGTGATAGTGCTAGTGCAAAACTAGAACTAACATTAAAATTCTCAAATTTATAAATCAAAAATGCGAAATTTTACATATCTGCTGTTTTTTTTTAAGAAGAAAACCATGAAATCCAATCGATTATTATTGAAAACGATTATAATAAAGCTTTACTGTTTAGATTATTTAAGTTGTCTTTATTTAAGTGCTTTAGAATTTACAACCTCATTAATAATAAGTATTGCTGTTGCTATTACATTTTATTTTTCTAATATACAAATTATTGATTGAGCTAAAATATATTAAAAATATCTAAGTTTCGACAATATTTCTGTATCGTTTAAAGTCAGGTAAATGATACACCCGATAATATGGCACGATGAAAATGACCGCGAGACCCAAAAGACCTATAGCAAAAAGGGTATAATTATGTGCATTCATATTATTCGCTGATAGTAACTCATCGCCAACAATAGCTTCAAAAATAAATCGCAGCAGATAACGTGTTATACCCCCAATAATCCATGTTAATCCTACAGCAGTGGCTCTAGCGCATGTAGGCATGAGTTCGCAACAATAAAGATGAATTACAAAATGTATAGATGATAATGCAACAACGGTTAAAAGGTTCAGAACAAACCAAGTTTCAACTTCACTAATTAAAATACTGGTTAACAAGTATATAATCGCAGTGCAATGCATTGCGAAAATTGCGACGTATCGTCCAAATAATATAAACGGTGGTAACGTGTTGAAAAAGCTAAATATATCACCCAATAGGATCATCATTCGATAGGAAGGTATTCGCAGTTGCTTTACGCGAATGTACGACGTTTTCTCCTCTAACAGCACGGTTTCAATACAAAATAATAACCCAATACCAAGAATAGCACGAAGATACTTTTTTGTTTGAAATAATAATTGCATATTATCAATAATAATCGTCATTTTCGACAATGATATACGTTGTAAAAACGAATATTCTGATATATCAACGTGTAAATTCTCCAGAAATTTCCACGCTTTCCTCTTTCTACCGTAGCTCAGTAACCATCGTGGTGATTCGGGGACATAATATAAATAAAAAATCAAACTGATGCTTGGAAGGGAACAAAATAGATTGGCGCTAAAGTAGCTGGTCGTATAATATTTTATATAATATCCATACACTTTTCCTAGTATTCCAAAACTTGATAAATATAACAAACAAATTCCTCTAACGGCGGGATTACACAATTCGACGAATAAAATATAAGTTAATAATGACCAAGATGCATAACCACATCCTTCCAAAAAATATCCTATGCATAAAACGTAGTAATGCTTTGCAATTAATACCAAAATTAACCCGATTATTAATGCAGGATAAAAAAGATATAACCCAGTTTTGCGACCCCACAAATCGCTAACAATAGCTCCAATAAAAAAACTAATTATTTCTCCAATTATACGATATGTCATTGCAGAAGTCTTAAACTTCAGGCTGGCACAAGTTCTCAAAAAATTAGTTCTCTTCCAACCCAAATCATGAGTTAAATTCAGAGCACAATATTTAATTTGTGGCAATTTCTTCAGTTTCTTTTTCATTTCCATCGCTTCAATATAGCTCTGTTCGCTGATATTATCATAATCAAAATCAAGATACATACAAAACTTTGCGTTCCGTGGTAAGGTAAAGTTCGCGATCATTTGCATGGTCCAATTATTCGCCAATAGTTTGGGAAACATACAATTTCCTTCGATGTTTTTTGAAATCAACTGGGCTGCTCTTTCTGCTTCCAAACAAAACGTGGGCAACGAGCTTAAGAAAAGCATTAGGATGAACCACGGAGTTGACTTATTGTTGTAGTCGAAGATATCATTGAATTCGCCGTCTGTTGGTTCTGAATTGTCTGGGTGAAACGTTATCATCGGCTCTGTTTTTCTACGATCATAAACGCTACTTCTTCGTCTATCGTCGAACATCATATCCAATAAATTTTAATTAGATTATGTCAATATTTTACGTTTATGTTTATAAAACAATACACTACTAATTAAAATTAATGAATTTATTGATTGATTGAAGTTTGTTTTGTGTCAAAAAACATACCTATACGAAGTTAGCCCCCAATTAGATAGGATTTTACATGTACAGTATTTTGATTGTAACAATAGAAACTCTCACCCGATTTTGACTAACAATATCTCATTCGAAAGCTTAATCCTTGGCGTATACGAAAGTGGGATTCGAAATCTCTTTTAATTTCCGCTAAAATGCCAAAATATTATGAGAATACACGAAAGTGACACAAAAATTACGTTCTTTAGGTGGTCATAACTCGTAAATTATGTACTCCACTATCAAGATCTATATCGAAATAGTTTCGTCTATCGAAATGATTAAATGTACGGTCTCCATTCTTTCCCCTAAACCTTGTACAACCCTCAGAACGACACCGTGATCGGTGTTTATACGCCCAACTTAATTTACTTAATAATACGTAATTATTATACATAATAATAACGTAATAAATTTTATCTACGACTGCTTGGATAAGTCATCATTACCGCACTCATTTGAGGTGATTTGAGTTACGTAATGAAGTTCATTACCGCACTGGTTTCATTACGTAACGCATTTTTAGCCTAATCAGAACAGACTTAATTTATTGAAACGAGCAACAATACAAAAGAAAAAGTGCTATCTCCTTACAGAGAAACAATACTATTTATTATAAACATTAATTGTTATGTTTTTACATTTCAAAACACTTATTCCAGATGAGTAAACATGTTGTTGAAACTGACAATTCAAAATTGTCAATAATCATTTCAAAATATTTTTATAAATGTCAAATAGACTTTTCTAAAGAAATTGATTTTTTAGGAACTTTTAGCAGTCGTAGATAAAATGCTGTATATCACACGTGGGCTAGAGCATAATTACAGTACTCGTGTGATTACACGACTCGGTCTACGACCTCGTCGTGCATTTCTCCACACTCGTACTGTAATTATGTTTCTAGCCCACTTGTAATATAAATAACTATTATTCCTAACAATATTGCTCTTTTACATTTTAGCCCTCAGTTGCATAAATATAGAGAAAAATTCAAATAGGTCAAAATTAGATGAAATCATGGTTTTACACGGTACCATTTTGAGGGCTGACACAAATATAACGGGAAAGAGTTGAGATCGAGCATTTTATAACTTCGATAGAAGTAACTATGACGAATGGAATTACGTATAGATGTTGATAATCGAGTACATGCTGGTTTACGACTTATGACCACCTAAAACGGTCATTTTGTGTACTTTGGCAATATTTTGGCGTTTTATTTCGCCAATTCAAATCGGACATTTCTACTTTTGTATTGGCCAAAGATTAAGCTTTCGAATAAGGTGTTGTTCATGAAAATCGTTTGAAAGGTTATTTTGTTATAATCAAAATACTATACATGGCGCAATACTGTCTAATGGGGGCTAGAGAAATTGGGGGCTAACTTCGCATAGGTGTTAGTGATATGGTAGTAATTCATTCTTATATTTTCCAGTTCACAATTGGCAGAGCTCAGATAGTACGTATCGAAATTGTATAAACGTTTGATGTGCTTATTTGCATTTATCTCCGAATCTAACATCTATGCCTATAGAACTCACGAATTTTAGATATAATCTTAATAGCACCAAAATTTCTTGTTTGTATTAGCTCAAGTGTTATGCTTTAATCGTTAATTTTATTTTAGTAAATATAACTAATGTTGTAACGCTCTTTTTAGGTACAACTGCCAGTATGCCTGTTAGCCCACTAATTCTTGGTCTTTTGGGAACTGCGGGTGTCTTGGGTGCAACTGTCTGTTTAGTGTTAGCAGCCCTTTGCAGACGCCATTACCAAAGACCGTGTCACCGCCCCGATAATGGAAACAAACACGTCCCCTTGGAGGTAATTCCAGCGGATGATTTGATTCGGGATGGTTCCGTTACAGGGCTTAGAAGTCCTTCGATTTGCGATGCAACATTAACACAACCCTTGAGGAATGGCCCTTCACAAGAACCATCTGATCCCGATATTATAAAAAATCAATATGGTAAACATAACCAAAACATTAATTTTTCCTACAAGATTGAAACTTTGTTATATATTTACAGAAAGAAGAACAATCCAAGGAGGATATATGAAAACATACGAACCCGCTCACACAAGATTAGATGAAGACAACGAAGATGAAGCGGATGAATACGATTTTCGACATGTAACCAAAGAATCTCATATACCTAATCAAACGGCAAGTTTAAAAAACTACAATTTACCGTTGTTTTTGCTCCCCTGCGGCCTAAACCCTTAAGTGTGTTGTTTCAATAGCCTTGAAATCCCACCCTCTTGCTTGTTTAGGTGTACCGAAGTCTGCAAAGGACGACGAGGGTCCCTGTAGTGGCAACGATTCCAGGATCGCACACCCTCACGCACAAGTACAGAGGTCCTGAAGTTGTCACAACATCAAACCGAATACAGGAAAGTTGCATTTAAGCGAGAAAAAAAAAACGAACGTGGCCGTTTTTATGATGTATAAATATTGATGTATTTAAGGATTACATATTAAGAGGAAACTAATAAAACAAGATCTAATAAGAGGTTTTGTGACAGATTCAATTCAAAGAGAAAAATGTTTCATGTTCATTTCTGTCTGTTTTTAATAAAAAATTTCAAAACAATTTCTTGTTGTGTGTTAATACTACCTTTTAGTGGCTAACTGTAAATGACAGATTCATTGTCCGTTTAGCGATGGGATAAAATTTTTTATCGGAGAGCGGAGATTCAATTTAGGAACGTTCGCACTCGTGGCTACAGGATTTCAGTCAAACATCGACGTCAGTTTCAGTGAACGGCGGGTGTTAGTGTAGACAGGGTAGACAGTTTAGAGGACGTCGCTGATACCACCTGACAGCGTAATGAATTAATAGAATAAAGCCGATTCTAGGTCGACGGAACCAAAAAATTCCTTGTTGATGTCCATTTATCATTCTCGCCAAGGACATCTAATCAGTTTTGATAGCAAAAATCATTTCAATTTTATACATAAAAACAATTTTTGCACCGAACTTTTTGTCGGTATCCTGATTAAATTATTTAAATCAACAAAAACAAATTTAGTGGAAAAATAAAAGGTGAAAAGTTAACACCACACACTGTTACTATTTCATAAGTCGTTGACAACCTGAAATATGGAAGCAATTTTACATGACGAAGTGAAAATGTAGGGTAACATATTATGTAACACGAGTTGGCTGAATAAATTTTATTTTCTTTTGAAAATATAACGCTGGATTTAAGTAATAAGACAAAAATGTTTTAAAAACTTGTACGATCGACCTGACTAGTCGTTATGGAAGACTTACCTAAAAAACTTAATTAAAACGAGGTAAAAAGTAAAAAAAAATCGAGCGGATGGACGGTCGCTTTGGAGGGAGATTCCGTGTACACGGGGAAAATACAAAGCGACCAGGCTAAGCCCTCCTAATCGGTCGTCCGGACTTCCAAAGCCGACGAATAAAAAAATTAAATTCCTCTTGAAATTGGTTATAGCACTGGCGGCGTCGGCGACGACGCGTCGTTCCACCTAAATTATACCGTTCTTTCACCGATTCTTTAGAAGCGGATGCTAAAATAATGACACGTTTACCCTAGTCTTTAGATTATTAGCAAAAAATAACTAATTTTCTTAAAAGCATACAATACAGGTGTTTCAAACACATAGAATACAAAATAGAATTAAACCATAAATCTATGATTTTAATAATATTTATATCAATCACTTGGACTTTAAAAATAAAACATAATAACATTAAACTATACATATACTACCAATCAAGAAATTCCTGCTTTGTATAAAATAGAGTCTAAGGTCGTTGGCACACGGAGTTAGTGAAATGGAACTGATCAGTGATGCGAATTACCAGTTTACTTTATCACTTCTCTTTGAGTCCTAGTAATTTGATTTTCCAGTATTTTCTTTATTCTAATTTTAGGAATACAAAATTGTGTGTCCACTATTTTTCAGACGCAATGCAGTTTACAATTCCTTACATCAAGGCATTGGGGAAGCCTTCAGGAAATCCGCCGCCCCTACCACAAGTGCAGGAAGAAGAAGGACTACACGTAGATGATGAAAGCATTGTGGATGATTTGAAATCAGAAGCTCCCTCACCATCCCCCCTTATAGTACAACCATCATCATCAACCAACTCAACTCCAACTGTGTTCTACACCTCGTATAGCAAAGGATAAGCATTATGTACAATATGTAAATAACGACGCTGTAGACATAGCATTCTTACAATATTTGAAAAGTAAAACGCCACAACGTCGACCAAGGAGCAGAACGTTGTCAAGGATCCGAAAATAGAAGCGTTGAAAATGTTTCTTCTCAGTATGTTCAGAAAATGAGTGATCAAGAAGTGCAACAGTTCAAGAGGAGGGTCTTGGATCCTGTGGACGACATTCTGTCTGCCAGATGCACTAGCCCTCCATCCTTATCCCCATCAATGACTCTTTCTTCATATTCAGGATTGCTACAAGGGACTAAAGGGACAGCTGAGAAACTACTGATGCCAATTTTTCACCAATCGCCCAGAACCTAATGATTTTTTTCTGTCAGATATTGTTACTCCGCACACAATGAAATTTACTTTTGAATAAATACTATAAGGTTTCTTTTCTTACCTGAGAGTAATTAATACCCATTTAGCAGCTTCCACAGACACCCTCATATTAGTATTCTGTTTCTGGATCGCATGAAAGACTAATCTCACCAGTTCCAAATAACTTTCTTTCGGCATTCTATAGAATGCTACAAACTTAGCATTTGAAATTTCAAGTTCTTTTGCAAGACCAAACAAAGGGTGGTGAAAATTCTTCTGAAGGTATGGGTGGACCCAGAACCTTCTTCTGTTCATTCTTCTCCTTCTAATATAATATGTCATGATGGTTTCATCATTGCTGGAACTGTTTTTTGAAGTTGACAAAACGACACTTGTTGATGGTTCTACATCCATGACTAAACTGAAGAAACTACAATATTTGGTCGCTGATGAGTAGCTTCGTGTGTAGAACCTGGTCACTAATGAGTCAGTATCTGGTTAGTGGCCCAAGTTTCCAACTAGTTTAGTTCAATTTTAGTAGCTCCGTATGCAGACCATTTTATGACTGAAATTTACAAAACAATTTATATATGTCTTTACATAAACCAATGTAGATGCCAACAACGAATATAGAAGGAAGTTGGAACGGGAACTGGCTGATAGTTTTGGTAGGAGTAAATTAACAAAGCGAACGCCAGCCAAGGAAGGTAATCAGATGAGTGCTATGGAAGGAGTAAATTGACGAAGCGCATGTCAAAGAATGAAGGGAAAGAGAGAACACAGGGGAAAAATGATTAAGTGTGTGATGTGTGTCTGCATCATGGCACTGAAGGAGATTAAACAAGTAAGGGAAAAAAGGACATCAAAACAAATATTCGAGATAAAGCAAAATAATGAAAGAATGAGAATGGAGATAAAAGATTTAACTCAGAGGGTGGAAATGTTTGAAAAGAGCAACAAAAAGAATCGCTTGATAATTACTGGTATATAAGAGATAAACTATTTATCGATGTGGATCTCACCGAAAGAAAGCAAAGAATATAAAAGACACTGCGAAGGAGGAAAGAGAAAACGAAATCAGGCAGAAGTGAGGTATAAGAAATTGATATATTCAACGTAATATGCTTGACAGAGGATGAGGAACAGAAAAAATTACTAAGCCCATCTATAGATCGAAAGACAAAAAAGTAAAACCACCAAGTAAAACGAAGATATATAACAGGAAACAAAGAGGAAGGAAAGTCGGTGTCACTATGTTGGTATAAAATTTGACCACACCAAATTAGACCAACATGCTTATTCGTGTGTAAAAACTTGACCAAGAATTTGGGGGCGATTCGTCATGTTGTCCCCCCTTTGGAGCTCCTTCTATATTTGAGACCGAACCTTTAACTGGTACGTCTGCGGTAAACTTCAGTAAATTTCCCGATCATCGTCTGACAAGTCTTCAGTGGCGTATACGTATCATCAAAGTGTAGGTTGATACAATACAGTTAATCTTATGTATTCATCATATATCGAAAATGATTGTTGTTGCTGGTCTGTGCATGTTTAGAACCAGTTTAATATTACTTCTTTGAAGCCCAAAAATTGAAGATCCTCCTACTTATTTTTACATGCTATTGATTTCAAATAAATACAGCCTTTTTGTAACTGTTTATATAAATAACCGCAAAAATAATTGCGATCAATCGTGCAAAATTTAACGTTTGATTTATAAACAACAATTAAAGTCGCTTAACAATATTTTCAAAAGCTCTTGTCTTGTTTTAAACCCTTTATATAAAACACAGGATGTAACCCATCCAGTGTTTTATCCAAATATACGGGCGACCGCAACACGTAAATAGCATTGTAAATTTCGAAACGTTCAAATTAGCTGCTATGTGGTGTATATTGGGAGTCTGATTAAAAATTCAAGTGATCCAGGGATAAAAGCCTGGAGCTTTAAAGGGTTTGAAGGGGTCACCCGTAACGGCCGTGGACCTCCGGAAAGTTACATCCCCTCTAAAGATGGTTTTATGGCATCACGTATGTAAATGGGACGTTGAAGGTAAGGATAAACCATTCCAAGCGGAACCCAACGGGAATTCCTACCAACGTGACAAATGGCGCGACAATTTTTTCACCGCAAAAGAACTCGGGAAGTTGTTACATCACGGTATATTATAACGTCTTCTTTTTGATAGCGAAATATTGCTCGGGAAAATACAATTTATTTCTACCGCGATATACTGGAAATATTCTCCACGAAATGATAATATATATTTATGTATTAAAGCCCACGCAGAAATCGAGTTGTTGTGAGGAAATTATATTATTTTAAGAATCAAAGGCGGTAACTTGGAAATTAATAATAAGGAAGTTGAAAATTTCGCAACAACATTCAAGTTTACTCTCTCGCCCACACGTTTCCTTCTGCTGGCCGATTAAATTCTTCCTCTCCACGAAGTTGGGGTAAACAATCTCAGTCGTTAATAAGTTCATTAAAATGTTTCCGAAGTTACCCTTTCTAATCGAAAATACTAAATCTTAATTTAAGATAGTCAGTTTTGAAGAAGACTGTTTTGATGTGTTTTGATGAAAGGGTCAATTTATAATACAAATTGATTAATAGATATGATAATATTATTAGCCCCATAACGCAAATTTGCAATCAATTATATTGTAGATTTATGCCACCTATCTTATCCATTGGTAAGATGCAGTTACTTCCGGATTAATTCTCCCCATCGATTTATACGGAGTTTATAGCCGACCCAATAACGTGTTGACTGTATTTATGTGACCATTAGATCCGTGCAGGGACCGCTTGCTCCCGAAACGGAGATAAGGACCGTTTTGTCCCATTCGTGGGTGTCAAGCTCCGGATTGTATCGCTTGGAAACTAAATTATTGGCAAGTAATAAAGTCTAGAGTCTATAACAACACTGAAATCAACTTTTCATTGTGCAATATTGTACAATATCATTGTACAATATGATAACTACAGCATTTCTTAAAAAGTGGCGTAAATTTTAATGAGAAAGTATATTTATAAAAAATTTAAAAGTATTTTGATTAGTATTCGTAGT